ATTTGCGCTTCTTCGCAGTGTTTTGATCCAGAGATTCAGTACTCGATCAGAAGATGTGTAATAGCGCCTCCTACAGTATAACAGAAAACACGGCAAGCCGGAGAATCCCGTCACTGACAGGGACAGAGTTAACAGCTGTGTAGGTTCTCTCGAAGTATTACTGTTAGAAATACTAATAGAACATTCGTTCAAAGTTATCTGGTCTTTAATAACATTCTCGAAACTTTCGCACTGGAATTTGATTTATTCATTATTCATGGGAAGTTTTTTTCTCAAATGTTTTAGTTGAATGTTCATCTAACTTGTTTTTTTGTTTGTTTCAGAATGTTCAGAGAACATTTAAAAGTAGCAATTCCGTAATGTTTGCAGAGTGATAAAATTAATTATTTCCTTTTAACATTTGCATTACCAAGAAAAAAGTAGTTGAAACATTTTTTAAAAACTGGACATTTTGAACATTTAAAAAGCATTAAGGAATAACTTTTTCATAACTCATTGGGAATGTTAGCATAATGTTTTTAGACCATATTTTGGTTAGCTGGCATTGAACATGTCTAATAGCTTCTGGATCTGTGCTACTGAACAGAATGACACTAACATACTCCAAATGTGCAGTGGACAGCAGAGAACACTGCATCCCACAAAGCACTGGGTCTATACTGATGATATTTACTAAATGATGAGAGGATCTGACAGCAGTGTAGCAGTGTGTGTTTATGATGGACTGATGCTGTATTCAGCGCTCTCCTGCTCCGTTACAGTCCAGATTCTGTGCAAACTCCTTTCCATCGACACTTCTCATCTTACAATGCAGAATTTGTTTTTCTTGCAATTGCAAGTTTATCTCAAAGTTAGCACTTTGTTTCAGAGAATTGCACGTTTATATCTCTTAATTCAGACTTTTTTCTCCAAATTGTTAGTTTATATCTCGAAATCCCCCCCCTTCACAATTCTGACTATTTATTTCTGAATTCAGACTTTGTTTCTCTCAGCTTAGCGAGTTGAGTCACACTTGTCTTATTCTGCTCGAGCTTCCACAGGGTTTCATCTGTAGCTCGGTTGGGTTCTGATAAGCTGTCGGTCTGGAGGGAGTTTCAGACAGAATCAGACGAGCTCTTTCAGAGAACGTGACCTGCAGTAATCCTCTACAGTAAAGTACAGTACAGTAAAGTACTGTAAAGAACGTTCGGCGCTGTACGTTTGATGAAGGCCCTTTAAGCGCCCTGCTGATATGAAGCCATTCAGACCGTCATTCCTTCATTTCTGTTGAGTTCCATCACTCGAGACATATGAAATCAGGAATATGAACATTGAAATGTCTTCGGATCCTTCTCTAAAGCTTATTTCACAAGCCATAATATGGTACATTATACACAGTGTTTATACAGATTTAGCACGCATACGATTCATTCTGATTTTCTTGTTGATTTAGATAATTACTCTGTGTCACAAGAAGCTCATAAATAAACCATATCTAAATATTGGCTTTGGGGTTTCTCTCTGTGTGACTGAGTGCACAAAGGCTTGTGTGTTGGCTCTTCAGTGAGGATGAATGGAGTGAGTTCTTTGCCTCGTGTGGGAATGGTGTGTTATGTAACTGTTTGCAGGCAGTTGTACAGTAATGATGGTTAACTGGCATGTTTCATTATATCACACGTGTTTACTGTCCCTGCAGGAACCGGATAACATGCAGGGAGCGTTCTCCGAATGTTCTGCCAAGGTTCTCTCAAGTTATGAAGAAATGTTCTTCCAGTAGCATTGACAGAGCGCTCGTTCAGTGTTATCTGCTCTTCAGTCATGTTCTACAAACATTAGCACAAAAACAGTATTTATACATAATGTTCATATAATGTTTTTTCATGTAACATTTTAGTTTGAAATGTTTTGACCTGTTTCAAAGTAACATTCTCACGTTTGCAGAATGATACAACCCTTCATGTTCACATAGCCTGACTAAGAAAAAACTTTTTTTGAACAATGGCTGTTTAAATGTTCAGAGAACATTCAGAAATCTAAAGACTTCATGTGAATGTTAACAAAAGGTTCTTATAACGTGTTGTTATTATCTGTGCACGTCTAACAGTCATAATGATGATTAATCATGCTTAAACTAATGCTGTTGTCTAAGCAGGGATCTGTTCTCAGCTGAAATAGTGACTTGAGTAATGAGTTTTAATATTGCACGGAGACTCAGATGAGATCTCTCCTCAACACGCTGTTTATCATGGAAGAATATTATTTTGTATTGATTATTTAATACGGCAGCAGCAGGAGTGTCAAACTGTTTTTTATTTTCGGGCTAAAAGGTACAAACCTAACACATTTAAGGGATTTGTTCGAGGATGTGGGTTTGATTTAGGCATTGATGGGGACATAACTGCAGACAACAAACATTTCATTGTTTGATCAAAATGATTGCTGGAGCAATTGATTAGTGTCTGATATAGGATCATGTCACAGCGTCTCTACTCAATTTTCTCATTATAGTCCCGATCTCAAATGATGGTTTAGTGTGCACGAGCGCGCCTTCATCCGCGTGCACGGGCGCGCCCACCTCTCAGCGCGTGCACGAGTCCGCCTCCATCCGCGTGCACGAGCGCGCCTCCATCCGCGTGCACGAACGCGCCTCCATCAGCGTGCACGAGCACGCACACCTCTCCGCGCGTGCACGAGTCCGCCTCCATCCGCGTGCACGAGCGCGCCTCCATCAGTGTGCACGAACGCGCCTCCATCAGTGTGCACGAACGCGCCTCCATCAGCGTGCACGAGCGCGCCGTCATTAGTGTGCACGAGTCATAATGATGATTAATCATGCTTAAACTAATGCTGTTGTCTAAGCAGGGATCTGTTCTCAGCTGAAATAGTGACTTGAGTAATGAGTTTTAATATTGCACGGAGACTCAGATGAGATCTCTCCTCAACACGCTGTTTATCATGGAAGAATATTATTTTGTATTGATTATTTAATACGGCAGCAGCAGGAGTGTCAAACTGTTTTTTATTTTCGGGCTAAAAGGTACAAACCTAACACATTTAAGGGATTTGTTCGAGGATGTGGGTTTGATTTAGGCATTGATGGGGACATAACTGCAGACAACAAACATTTCATTGTTTGATCAAAATGATTGCTGGAGCAATTGATTAGTGTCTGATATAGGATCATGTCACAGCGTCTCTACTCAATTTTCTCATTATAGTCCCGATCTCAAATGATGGTTTAGTGTGCACGAGCGCGCCTTCATCCGCGTGCACGGGCGCGCCCACCTCTCAGCGCGTGCACGAGTCCGCCTCCATCCGCGTGCACGAGCGCGCCTCCATCCGCGTGCACGAACGCGCCTCCATCAGCGTGCACGAGCACGCACACCTCTCCGCGCGTGCACGAGTCCGCCTCCATCCGCGTGCACGAGCGCGCCTCCATCAGTGTGCACGAACGCGCCTCCATCAGTGTGCACGAACGCGCCTCCATCATCGTGCACGAGCGCGCCGTCATTAGTGTGCACGAGCGCGCCTTCATCCGCGTGCACGGGCGCGCCCACCTCTCAGCGCGTGCACGAGCGCGCCTCCATCAGTGTGAGAGATGCTGCCGCTGGGGTCAGACGCGGGTCCGATGTTCGGGTGAGAGTTCATGCTCAGTTCCTCTGTGTTTTCGTGTTTGAGAGTCTTCAGCCTGAGTAAGTCGCTCTCTTGTGTTCTGATAGCTGTGCTGTGGTGTGGAGACCCTGGGATCTTTCAGCAGGAGAGACGCAATTAAATAAAGTAACTTGCTTTGCTTGAACGCTGGTCTCAGAGTCGGAAAGCGCAGAAATGAACCCGTGTTGTTGTGCTCTTCAGGTGGTTTCTGGAGGTGTGAGACGGGTCCAGACTTCTTCTGAAGATGTTTTCCATCATCCTGTGAGGTCTGCTGCTCTTCCTCTTCCTCTTCACTCAGAAATGTTTATTAGATGTTTTTAAACACTTACCTAGTGAACAAAAATATTAAGTTAATGAATTAAGTTATCTCTCTAAACGTTCAAAGTCTTTTAATGTTTTAAAAACGTTCTTATTGTTGTGTGATCGTTCAGGGAACATTCCAGTTTATTATTTGTGACCCTGGAGCACAAAACCAGTCATAAGAGTCCATTTTCTGAAATTGAGATGTATGCATCATCTGAAAGCTGAATAAATAAGCTTAACATTGATGTATGGTTTGTTAGGATAGGACAATATTTGGCTGAGATACAACTATCTGAAAATCTGGAATCTGAGGGTGCAAAAAAATCTAAATATTGAGAAAATCATCTTTAAAGTTGTTCAGATGAAGTTCTTAGCAATGCATATTACTAATCAAACATTAAGTTTTGATATATTTACGGTAGGAAATTTACAAAATATCTTCATGGAACATGATCTTTACTTTTACAAAGGGGAACATTTTGTGAAAATGTTCACAAACATACAGATTTGATTTCTTTCCCAAATTGCAGTGGCTGCTCTAAAATATGAGCCAGCAATGTTTCAGGCGTTTAGGACACATGCTTATTCAATAACAGTTTTATTTCCTATTTGGGTTTGTGTTTATGCTTTATTGTTTAAGATGAACAGTTTCCCTCTCCAAGGCTTTGTTAGATGACAGTGTCTACTGTATGTGAAGATTTGGTTTCAAACCAGTATCATAGCTATTAAAGCGCGCCCACCTCTCAGCGCGTGCACGAGCGCGCCTCCATCCGCGTGCACGAGCGCGCCTCCATCAGTGTGCACGAACGCGCCTCCATCAGCGTGCACGAGCGCGCCGTCATTAGTGTGCACGAGCGCGCCTTCATCCGCGTGCACGGGCGCGCCCACCTCTCAGCGCGTGCACGAGCGCGCCTCCATCCGCGTGCACGAGCGCGCCTCCATCAGTGTGCACGAACGCGCCTCCATCAGCGTGCACGAGCGCGCCGTCATTAGTGTGCACGAGCGCGCCTTCATCCGCGTGCACGGGCGCGCCCACCTCTCAGCGCGTGCACGAGCGCGCCTCCATCAGTGTGAGAGATGCTGCCGCTGGGGTCAGACGCGGGTCCGATGCTCGGGTGAGAGTTCATGCTCAGTTCCTCTGTGTTTTCGTGTTTGAGAGTCTTCAGCCTGAGTAAGTCGCTCTCTTGTGTTCTGATAGCTGTGCTGTGGTGTGGAGACCCTGGGATCTTTCAGCAGGAGAGACGCAATTAAATAAAGTAACTTGCTTTGCTTGAACGCTGGTCTCAGAGTCGGAAAGCGCAGAAATGAACCCGTGTTGTTGTGCTCTTCAGGTGGTTTCTGGAGGTGTGAGACGGGTCCAGACTTCTTCTGAAGATGTTTTCCATCATCCTGTGAGGTCTGCTGCTCTTCCTCTTCCTCTTCACTCAGAAATGTTTATTAGATGTTTTTAAACACTTACCTAGTGAACAAAAATATTAAGTTAATGAATTAAGTTATCTCTCTAAACGTTCAAAGTCTTTTAATGTTTTAAAAACGTTCTTATTGTTGTGTGATCGTTCAGGGAACATTCCAGTTTATTATTTGTGACCCTGGAGCACAAAACCAGTCATAAGAGTCCATTTTCTGAAATTGAGATGTATGCATCATCTGAAAGCTGAATAAATAAGCTTAACATTGATGTATGGTTTGTTAGGATAGGACAATATTTGGCTGAGATACAACTATCTGAAAATCTGGAATCTGAGGGTGCAAAAAAATCTAAATATTGAGAAAATCATCTTTAAAGTTGTTCAGATGAAGTTCTTAGCAATGCATATTACTAATCAAACATTAAGTTTTGATATATTTACGGTAGGAAATTTACAAAATATCTTCATGGAACATGATCTTTACTTTTACAAAGGGGAACATTTTGTGAAAATGTTCACAAACATACAGATTTGATTTCTTTCCCAAATTGCAGTGGCTGCTCTAAAATATGAGCCAGCAATGTTTCAGGCGTTTAGGACACATGCTTATTCAATAACTGTTTTATTTTCTGTTTGTGTGTATGTTTTATTATTTAAGATGAACAGGCATTGATGCCAGTGTTTCATAGCTATGCAAAAATTAGATTTCAAAACCAGTATCATAGCTATTAAACTGTATCTGTTATGATTTTAAATCTGTGTTTAACCTCCGAACGATCTCAAAGTGAAAATATGTGCTAAAGTCTGATTTAGTGCTGGCTGTGCTTTAAAATGAAATGATTATAATCTTAAATCAAGTGAAGAAGGAGTCTGTAAGTCAGTGTTGAGCTCTGCTGTAATATTAACCCTGTCTGCTTTACATGTTTCAGAACATTAGAAGTTTAGAGAAGCCATCAAAAGTAATCAGTTACATTACTTTAATGCAATAAATGACACTACTTATTATGATTTTAAATAGGGTCATTTGTAACCGATTACATTTCCAAAGTAAGCTTCCCAACACTGTCATTTTGCAAACATTATGGCAACGTTATGAAACAAGTTGTAACATTTTAAAAACCTTAGATGGACGTCCAACTAGAATCTTTCAGAAATAAAATGCTCGTTGAACAATGTATAAATGCTAATGTCTTGAGAACGTTATTAAAGACCAGATAACTGAATGAATGTTCTGTTAATGTTGCTGGTAAAACTTTGGGAGAACATCAGCCCGAGTTCTGTGTTAGCTGGAGATCATAGCGTTGACTGTGTGTGACGGGTCGCATCCATCCGCAGGCTGTTTCTGCCCAGATCCAGGACGCTGGAGTATCTGTCTCATCTGGGCCGGACGGTTTTGGCCAGTTTCCCCGTTCAGGCCACACTGCACTTTTACAACGATGAAGACTCCAGCTCTGAGGAGGATGAAGCAGACACTCATTAACCTCATCAGATCCACACGTGTACAACATGAACTCACTAGTGAGCCGAGAGCGAAGCAGAACACTGTTTAGGAAGCGCTGCGGATCCACAGGAACGAGACGAGCAGAAATACCACGCCACCAAACACACTTCTGATCTGAGGAAGAGCCTTCGTCTGGGAACGGCCTTAAAGAGACACTTCACCCAAAACTGACGTTTACTCTTCCTCGGGATGTTCCAAACATGTGTGAGCTTCTTCTGTTGAACATACAAGACACTCCGAAGAATGTCTGTAGCCAAACAGGTGATGGTACCCATCGACTTCCATTGTATTGCCTTACTATGGGAAGCCAATGGGGACCAACGGCTGTGGTTGTCGATGTGCTTCAAAATATATTTTTTATGTATAAGAAACCCATGCAAGTTTAGAACAACTTGAACGTGAGTGACGTTCAGGCCACACTGCACTTTTACAACGATGAAGACTCCAGCTCTGAGGAGGATGAAGCAGACACTCATTAACCTCATCAGATCCACACGTGTACAACATGAACTCACTAGTGAGCCGAGAGCGAAGCAGAACACTGTTTAGGAAGCGCTGCGGATCCACAGGAACGAGACGAGCAGAAATACCACGCCACCAAACACACTTCTGATCTGAGGAAGAGCCTTCGTCTGGGAACGGCCTTAAAGAGACACTTCACCCAAAACTGACGTTTACTCTTCCTCGGGATGTTCCAAACATGTGTGAGCTTCTTCTGTTGAACATACAAGACACTCCGAAGAATGTCTGTAGCCAAACAGGTGATGGTACCCATCGACTTCCATTGTATTGCCTTACTATGGGAAGCCAATGGGGACCAACGGCTGTGGTTGTCGATGTGCTTCAAAATATATTTTTTATGTATAAGAAACCCATGCAAGTTTAGAACAACTTGAACGTGAGTGAATGATGATGATTTCAATGTTTGGGTGAACTGTCCCTTTAAGCGTTTCGTTTGTATGTTGTTGAAAATCTAAACACAAATAAAAACAAGATTGCGCAACATGCGTTTGCATCCTCCATTTATTAATAATTATAACAGCATACAGTATAAACTTTAAAACAGGCTGGAGGATTGATAACAACAGTGTTTGAATAACACATAATAGACTGCGTAGAAGTCAGTTGCTGCCGTAAATGGTTAAGTTGAATCAAATTGGCTGTACAACCTAAATTATATTAAACTTAAATGTGAATTTTTTTTTATGTTGTCATGACTTATCATATAATTGTTTTTGCAGTATAATGAGTCATTGTATTCTAACACATTAAGCATGAGAAAACAGCAGTGTGTTTTTCTCGGGTCGCGGGGTCACAGGTCACCCGACACCCGTCGGTTTGCTCACGAGGGTCTGCAGGAGGAGACGAGCAGGAACACAACCCACCGCAGATGATGCAGATAGTGAGCTGACCGTTTCACTTCAGTCTGAGGTCACAGAGGTCACGGTCTGACCCCAGACACCACATCAGGAGTTTGGTGTTTGAGAAAGATGCAAAAGCTCAATGTCTAGAGCTTTACTAACGTGCTTTGGTCGCGCGAGTTCCCCAGGGCCGTGTTTCCCAAAAGCATCGCAAGCCTAAGCTGATCGTAGCTTCAATGGTCTACGATGTACTTAAGCTTACGATGCTTTTGGGAAAGCAGCCCAGGTCTGTCCGAGGGTCACCTGACGGTCAGAGCTCAGGCCTGTCACACGGCTGATGGATCTTATCGTCTAAACCCTGAGCAAACGCCTCGCATCACTGCGCGCCAGCATCCAGGTAAAAGACGCGGTTTATTTGGCTGATGGGAACGTCTCGGAGTCTGGGAATCACTCCTTCCTGATCCTCGCCCGCACGCTGACTCCTGGCGTAGTGATCTATACCACACATAATGAACGAGAAATCATTTGATTTGACAATGCAACACGTTTAAAATCACTTGAAATGTTGGTAAAAGCAAGCGAGCGCAGAAGTGTCATTATAAGGCTGTCACCTGTGATGTTGTGGACGGACGCGAGCGGAGCCGTGTTCATCAGGTTCACCCCGAACAGCAGCACTACACAGGTGCTTAAAGTGACCAGCAGGTGGATGGGTGCCGCCAGAGCCCAGTATCTGAAACACACGTGTGCGGGACATCAGCCTCGCCTCATCAACACAGCAACACAGGACATATATCAGATGCACTCACTTCTGAGGCCAGTAAGTCAGTCCGGCGGCGTGAAGCCAAGCGTCAGGAACCACAGCCCAGACCACATACAGAGCTGATGACAGCAATAACACACTTTAACACAACACAGCCACAAACAACGCTTTATTAAATCAAGGATTCAAAACTTTCACATCTTTTAGCCAGAAATGAATATATACATATTTTATATGTATATTACTGTATATGTGTGTGTATATATAAACAGTGTTGGGGAGTAACTAGTTACATGTGACGGAGTTACATCATTTAATTACAAAATAAATGTAGTTGTAATTCGTTACAGTTACTGAGAAATAATGTGTAATTACATGAGTTACTTCTGTAAGTCTGGCAGTAATCAGTGTTGAGCTCTACTGTAATATTAACCCTGTCTGCTTTACATGTTTCAGAACGATTAACAGCTGAAAACATTTGCTAGAAATTTAGAAAAGCAATCAAAAATTTAAATGTTACATCAAATCAGTAACATTACTTTAATAGAGTAATTGAAATCGTTACACTTCTTGTTACATTTCAAATAGGGTAACTTGTAATCTGTAAGCTGTTACATTAACAAAGTAACCTTCCCAGCACTGGATACATGTTACAGTTAAACAGTTGATTCGAATTCAGAGTAAGAGATGTTTGAGTTTGATCAGCAGATGATGGAGAGACGCACAGAAGCCGAGCTGCGAGCCCAGAAACAGCACGAAGCCGTAGATCGCTCTCTCGGGCAGAGGAGACGGAGAGTTCTCCACCATCATCAGCACTCAGCAGAGCAGCCTGACGGAACTCAATCAGTCAGATCAGAAATAACTCCTAAATGTCTTTTCTCTCTGCTGCGTTTCCTTGTTCTTCTGCGCAGGCGCACCGCGTAATGCTGAATGCTGCCCCCGCGCGGCCTGGAGACACAATAGATCGCTCTCTCGGGCAGAGGAGACGGAGAGTTCTCCACCATCATCAGCACTCAGCAGAGCAGCCTGACGGAACTCAATCAGTCAGATCAGAAATAACTCCTAAATGTCTTTTCTCTCTGCTGCGTTTCCTTGTTCTTCTGCGCAGGCGCACCGCGTAATGCTGAATGCTGCCCCCGCGCGGCCTGGAGACACAAAACACACACACACACACACACACACACACTCTCTCTCTCTCTCTCTCTCTCTCGCTCTC